TCGAACAGCAAGGAAGGATGATTTAGCTATGAATACTATGGATACTATAAGCTTTGTTATTAACATTTTTACATACTTCAAAGCTGGCAACAAAGTTATTTCATTCGTTCTTGTCTAAAAGGCATGAACATATCAAATGCGTCCTATCTTAGCTTTTCAGATATTTTCGACCTCTTACTGCATCCTTTGTTAAACTATTTTTTTAGGAGATTTATATAAACCTTAGTTCTATCATGACACAAATTATTACTGAGAAATGGGTAACAACTTGGCAAAAGAAGTTCAGTATTACAAATCTGTTTACATTGAGGAATATTCGGCTTCTCATATAAGAAAATCTGATTTTTTTATTCTTCCAGGACTCAAACATTCACTTACTGTACAAATCTCTTTAAACAGATTAGTTCCCATTTGGATCACACTTTCTTCCTGACGTATGTTTCAAGTGTTCAGTTCCTCAGTAAAAACTGAATTGTTCCTTGGGGAGTTCTTGGCAGAAATGTAGGAACGAGACGAAACCTATTCAACAAAACGCTTCGTCAAAGATTACTTTGCTTTCATCTTTGTTTTCAGCAAAGACCGGAGCTGAGTTGTTGAAGTTGAAGAGTTTTCCGCTGCAGTTTGGGATGTTGGCTTCAATTGCCTGTAAGACAGGCGGGTGTTGGCCATATGAAAAGGTCATCATCGGGAATATGTTTCTGGAAATGTTATCTCCAAATATGAACAGAAACATGGGAATCAAACATGTACTCCTGTGTTTCAGTAAGACTCGTCTGAGAGGACTCAACAACAAATCCAATGCCATTGAGTTTGTCAATGCTATTAAATGAATAGGAAAAAAAGGAAACTCCTTACTTGTTCGGTGATTTTCTCGTATATCTCTAATTCTTCGGCACAACCAAAGTCAGGAGTGCGGATTAGAGTGAATTCATATGGCACAGGTGAACCATTCATAGGTTAAAATGTATAAGCAGTTACGTTCTGCGACTGATTGTGCAGTTGAAACGCTTTGGACTCATCTGTTGTGAGCTTGAAACGGAAGTCATCGTTCCATTGAACACCAAGGGGGTTATCGACGATTCCATTAATCAGCATCTGTTTCTCCCACCACTATGAACACACTTTCTTCTTCTCTACGCCCGAGATCATCGATAGCGATTGGTTTTCCAATACTCTGTCTTGCAAACTTATAATTTAGTACTTTCATTTCCTCCCTCATATGAGGCTTGTAGACTGACGGAGAACCATTTTTCTGACGTATATATAATAAAAACTCTCCAAGACTGGGGGGGGGGAGGGTAAGAGTTTCGGGCCATTGTGTCGTGCTGCTGTATTACCGGTGCCAAAGGTTGCGTTGTCCGGTTTGGAACATCTTTACCAGCAATAATCTGCTAGCTGTCTTTTGTTCTCTGTTGAAAAGAGGGCGTTTGTTTTAGTGAGAAAGGGTAAATGAACCTTTCTTTAAACAAATTTCTGTCAAAACTGGAGCCCGCTGTGTTTCTCACAAATATAACCTAAAGACGGGCATATACGTCAAAGACCACACACCTAACACAACTCTCAGCTCGAACCAGGCAAACTAAATGAATTAGAATAGTGAATTAAAAACCTTTTCTGTTTCGGTTTGATGGCATGGTCATACGTGATCTCTGAGAAATGGCATGATAGTTAGGTTTACTTCCAAGACCAGCTTCCCATAGAGCTTCCTCTATATTGCCTCTTCTTTACTTCGTCAGCGACCCATATAATTTTAAAATGTACAACCAACTGAGATGGACATCACTCGGACAATAAGCAGGTGGAAGCGTCCAACGCTTTACATTGCATAACTGCCAAACTAGCATTATTTAATGGCGAATATTTTGATAAGAAGCGTCTTTATGCTAAATAAAAGCAGGCAGTATTAGATCAAAATCGGATGTGCCCTATTGTTAACAGTTGAGAAACTCCCACGATCAAAAATTCCATGATCAGGGAAAGAGTTGCTACGATAACGTAACTGAAAGTAACTAATAAAGCCCCCCAGGTTGACTAAAAAAGGTTTTAAGAAAGTACATAGAGGTCGAATGAAATGGAACGCTCCCCTATGGAGTTAACAAATCAGTACACCATGATCAACCGTTGAAATGCGACTCAATTGAAAGGTACTTCAGTTAAAAGGAAAACTAAAGGGTTTTATTATGCTAGGACTAATACTTAAGCTTAATAAAACTCTCAGTGCTAAGCGGACAGACGTACTGAATTGAAATAGCAGATTGATTGCTTTCTCTGGCTCGAGTGACGATTCTTAAAATAGTATCTGATTCCTAGAAATTGACGACTCGCTTGAGTTGATTTCTGAGAACAGCTTTCCATCAAGCTTCTATTGAGTCACGCCGTTCCTTACCTAGTTAATCACCTGAATTGTTCACCAACAAATTTAACATGCAGCTGGAAGAAGCCAAAACTTAACACCATACACGCCAAAAGAGAAGACTTTACAGCTTATTTCGTTAACATTAGTTGATGCTTAACACATTAAGCAGACAAAGAGGCATATAGCCTATGCTTCTGGCAGTTAGTATTCAAAGGAGGCATGAACCGTTTGAAAATCAATTGATTAATGGGTTAACCGAAGCAAACAAAATGCCAGTTTGAGTTAATGACGCGAGCTATTAAAAAATAACAGCTGTATTCTCTTTAGGCAAAGATAGCGAGATGTCGATCAAATGCCTCCTTGAAAAGTGTAAATCTGCCATGTTACTTTCTCTTCACCACGATAACTCTGTTGTGCCCGGATGAAGTAAGTAAACATTATTTACGGATAAATAGTTACACTGGCCTTCGGTCACTATCTTTCGAAAACTTCAATTGTTTACCTGTACTGAAAGCTTCCTCAGAGGATTAATATCCTTTGCAGTAAAAGGAACACAGACACTCTTATCGACTGTTCAGCTTCTTTTGCACAGAAATCGAGAAGATAAGAAAATCCCCCGTGCATGACAACTTAAGTAGGTCTGATTGGTTCTGAGATCTGAGCAGCAATCACATGATTCAGTCCAATTTACGTTACCAGGGCACACGGCAACAGCATGCAGCATTCTTCCTCTTTGCTTTAAGGTCAACGGCTGATTTGAGTAGCAAGTTTAAATTTGCGAGAATTTTTTTTTTATACTCATTATCTGTTCTTGTAATTATGTTTAGAGCAATAAACAGCCCTTACCGAAATCCTTTTCAAGAATAAATGACATACAGGTTCTAAACAAGGCCGATATTTGACATAAAAAGAGCGAACCGCTCTCTTTCATGTTACTTGATATATGCGTCTTGCTCCCGTCTTATAATCATTTAGGATGGCGGATGGCAACATATTATTCTCCTTCTTGAAGGCGGGACTCTCACAGTCGATTTTACAAAGTGGTTTCTTTCCCACTCACATGTCTGACACTATGACATAAACGTTTTTCATGCATTCATTTCGACTCTTGATATATTACTTGAGAACAAGCCCCCGCTTCAACTTAATGGAACGACAGGACTCCCGACTGGGTTTTTTTAGCGTTCTCTCTTAAAAAGTTTGGGCGCAACAACAAGTAACACCTGTAACAAAATTTGCCGGCTCGTTCTTATCGAAACTTAACTTCTTCACTCTTTTCAATTTATGGAAATTAATTTGGAGTTTCTTGTGTAGGAAATCATCAATCGTGCAGTATAAGTTTAACATGCTCTCTCCTGGAATGATCAATCAACCAGCAAAAAATTTCCATACAAGCTTTAATATGCTTCGTGGGCACTCCTGATTGGATCCTTAGTGATTCAATTTCATTTTAAACAATTCCGCCCTGTCAAATCCTTTTAAGAGCATAAGTCATAAGCATCCGGGTCCATCCGGGCTGCCTTCAAAAGTGGTTGCAACATTTTGATTCCCGGACACAACAAAATTATATGGGGCAAAAAAGGTACATTCACTTATAATGATGGTCTTACAAATTTCCTCTCCGAAGTATCTGGGTTAGAGGCCGCTGATCGGAACGCGATGACCCAAGCAATCCAAGCGAAGGAAGATGCAGCGCTCACAATGGAAAAGTGGAAACTAACTCCGAACCCTCAGGTAAGACGATTAAAGGATGGCTTTACGTGAGACAGACGTGCTTTTTTTAAAATTTTTTTTATTCTGATTTAACAAACTATCCTACGACATTTATACAAGGGCAATGAGACGAAAGGACCAAAGCTATAAGATTTCAGCGCTCTTTTTTTTCCTTTTTCAACACAGTAAGGCAAAATTTACGACTTGACTTAAAATGAAGATGACTGTATGTCCGAATAATTGCTCTCAGTATCTACTAAAGGAGTGGAAAGCGTTGAGGGCGCGCTCTGATTGTCCACTCAAACTCCGATTATTCAACAATTATTCAATTATGTCCGAGGTAGTTAATCAACTAGATCCCTGAAGACTGCAGTGTCAGTGAAGTGGATCACCACAAAGTTTAAACTACCGGGTTTTAAATACATCCTCAAGCGCCATGGCTAAAACCTTTTATAATCTGCAGCCAATTTGACTTGTTTCCGTTAAGTTAATCATCTCCTTAAGATGCCTACTCTTTAGTAAGCTTATAAGGTGCTTTGAAATCTTTTGTTTTGGACAATATCTTAGCTTGACGTTTGGCTTCTTTATACTGTTCAACGCGCTGTCTCAATCCCGGTTTGGCTTCATTCTTTTCGGACTCAAAGAGTTGCTCCAGGTAGTCTACATGTATCTTGGTCAGTGGGTTGAGACACAGGCAGCCCAAGCCCGCTACTAGCAAAGCGGACGCGACTCTTACAGTGTTGCGAAAAGTTTTATATTTATAAAGGTTTGTATGGGATGTTATCGGTTTGCCTTAAAAGAGAGAAAAAGTATATTTTTTTGAAATAAAATGAACCTACCTTATTGCCTTGTTGTGTTTTTGTTGATTACCAGCGTCTCAGGTCATTTTGAAGCGTTTTCGGCGAGTTAGCGCTATTTTGGTGTTCAACTTTCTCGCTTATTTCTTTTAAAGAAAAATTACAGGCTGTCATTTTTCTTGATTTTCACAATCCAATAAGAGTTTAAATTCTATGGCACTTCAGCTCTTTAACTACAATTTGCCAAAACGTTTAATACGGTATATAATCAATAAGGTCTCTACAGACTAGAGTATCCGAGAATTGTTTCAGCACATATATCAGTCGCACGACTCACAAATGATCCCTGGGCGTCATGCCAACATCTTTAAAGATCTCCACCCGATTGGACTAATAGAGAAGTCGTTAAGATCTCCAAAATATAAATCGGAAATACCATTTCTCTTCTTTAGATGCCTCCTCGTTAATCAGCTTTTCAGCTGCTTTAGGATTTCTGGCTTTGGACAGAATTTCAGCTTGACGTTTGGCTTGTTCGAAGTAGTGAACGCGCTGTTTCCATCCCGGCTTGGCTTCACTCTTTTCGGACTCAATGAGTAGCTCCAGATACTCTGTCTTGGTCAGTGGGTTGGGTTTGAGAGCAATTTCATCAAGGCGTTTCAGGCTTTGCTGAGCTTTGAACATCATTGAGAGGACATTGTTGTGCACCTCCGTAAGAGACTCTTCTAGTTGTTCAATCATGCCTTGTACTTTAGTCTTCCCTGACTTGGCCGCGTCGTATTTCTTTTTAAGATCCTCTGAGGTTCTTATCTCCATGACCGTTTCGTACTCAAAAACGTAGGGAAGATTCGAGTGTTCGCTCCAAAAGCAATGGTTTGGACAGACTGTGCAGGAACCACTCCTGTCCATCGCGCAACATTTAATTTTGTCGCCGTCATTTGAGTACACACAATCTTTATGACACGTGAAGGTGCAGCGACGACATGTGGTAGTGTGCTGACCAGTCCCACTGAGGTCTTTCTTTGTTGCTTTCGTAACTTCAACCGGGAATGTGAAGTATTTGTTCTGCTCGATCTCCGTTTCATGCTGTCTCAAGATATTCTCTTCCTGTCGCATTACTTCAATTTTGCTGAGACCCTGGTTGATCTGCGGGGTCAGCCCTTCCACCAAGTTTTGTAGCTGTTCTCGTTCCTTCAGCACCTCTTGAGTGAGTTGGAGACTGACGCTTCGCGATTTTTCGAAAGCAGAGAAGAATTTTTTGAAGGAACGGGCCCCCATCTTCCAACACATTTGGTTAAAAAAATCATGTTCATCTTCATCTTCATCTTCTCTGTCTTCGTTTTTCTGGGCCGTTTTAGTATTATTTGCAAAAATGGCTGAGTTGTTGAATTTATGAAACTCCTGAGCAGGGATGTTGGCTTTCTTTATGGCTTCCATTACAGGGGGATTTTCAGCGTCTGCAAAGGTGATCAGGATGAAAATATTTTTAGCTACATCTTTCCCAAAAATGGACAAGATGGATGTGAAGATGTACTCTTGTGTGGGGGTCAGGCGCGCCAAGGGAGCTTGAGTGACAAAACCAACGCCATCGAGGTGGTCGATACCATTTGGAGGAGGAATTAAAAAAAACTCTTTTATCTGATTTGTGATTTCTTTGTCTCTCTTGAGTCCCTCTGTATCTCCAAAGCCTGGTGTATCAATAATGGTGAACGTGTAAGGAACAGCGGAGCCCTCCATCGGGTGAAACGTGTAGGCTGTGATTTCCTTTGTCTGACTGTGAGCTTGTGTTTGCTCGCTATCTTCTACGACGAGTTTGAAACGGAACTCATCTGCCCACTCCACACCTAGGATGTAGTTGACCATGCCGTTGATCAGCGTCGTCTTTCCGGCTCCCGTTGCGCCAACCACCATAAGCACTTTTTCAGTTCCTCGACCACCAAGATCTCTAGGGCTGCCGACGCTCTTCTTGATAATCTTCCCCTTTTCCCTCTTTAATTTCAGTTCGGTTTGGAGCTTATAAACTACGGGGGTTCCAGCTGAAAGTATATCTGATTTTGGCATCAGGCTGTGAGCTAAGCGGGGTGGGCGATCTTTCTCATGCTCCGTAACCTTATGTTGACCTACAGGTCGATCCATCGATGTCTTTTCTCCGCTTTTCTTCGTGAAGCGGAGTGGGTGATCCTCCTCATCCTTGGAAACCTTCTTATTATGAGCTACAGATGGATCAGTGGGTGCCTTATCTTCACTGAAATGATGTTCTAAATGGAGGTCGACACTACAAAATGTAATCATATGGAAATGACGTGTTAAACTCGGTGGACTCGGTGTCCAAATGTAAAAGAAATATGAACAGCAAAACTGACTCAACAATAGAACTTCTGATTTCCACGCACTTTGATTGCATTCTTTTGGGTTTGTTTACGTTTCCCTGGCGTTGTCTACCTTGCCACATAATTCCCGCCAGCACTGCTATAACGGTAGCTACTCCCCAAGGGAAGAATTGCAAAAACGCATCCAACATTCCGATCCTAATGTGAAGGTGATTCTGCAAAAAAGAAAGAAGCCTTTGCTAAATAAACCCCCTCATGGCGGCCTATACGTCTACTAAAAATGTTTGCTGCTGAGAGATTGTCTAAAAAACAAATATTTGGTAGTAAAGCCCAGCTTCGAGAGAAAATGTGAACTCTTGAGGGCGATCTCTTAAATAAGGACATTATCAAACGATATACCACCAAACCAGAAAGGGATTTACGCAATCAAGAGAATATAATCTTTTGACGCAGTAGCTACTCTAAGAAACGACTCAGTAAGTTTACATAATACTAAATCTGAAAGTCTAGTCGTAATTTTCTTCACTCTCAGCGACGTTGACAGCCTATTCTATCTTTTTTTACTAATTCATACTATCGGATTCAGCATTGGCACTATCAAGGCCTCTACCAAATGAGTTTGGTTTTCTTCCATGTGAAATAATGAAGATGGTAAGGCGAAACTCTTGAGCTGGCCCTTTTCCGCTGGCTTTGTTTCTTTTCCACAGAAATAATCGGAGTACAGACAGGGATTATTGCGTGATATCTGTTCTGCGATATTGGACAGTGACGCGTCAAGAAGGCAATGAAATTACCCAGTAATTTTTCAAAAGCTTATGAAAGGGTTTAAGATTAAAAGGTTATAGAAATTGATAACCGGAATTGAGTTAATCATTCATAACTTACAGTAAAATGCAACATGATGACGTAAAAATGTAAATTGATAATCTAGGCCTCAAAGCAATGATGATAACAACAATAACGCACAGCAGGAAACTGGAATAGCTGAAAATCCGTTACTTTCGCTCTTTCTTAACTTTCCTAAACTATAATATTTGTTTCCAACTAATTTCAACGAGTCTTTCATTTACTCAACATTTTTATATGTGGAACGGTAACTTCGACATTATGTTAGATTCATTGTATCCAGGCAAACTTTATTTTTTGAATGAAAGGAGCCAAATTTGGGGGTATTTAAGGGAAGGGTTCACGGTTATGCTCAGGAGTGAGAGATGACGCGGCTTCATTGTTTATTAGCCAATCAGAGAATAGAGGTAAAGACAGACCAGTAAGGACTCCCTCTGTGGTTTTTGTGGTCGTGTCGTATTATCACCTTTCAATTGTATATTTGCTCTCACAAGGGTGTCGCAAGGGATATTCCCTTTTTGTGTGAGATGATCGGGTGTTATGCAAAAATTGTTCTTAGCAACGACTCATTGTATATCTAGGCGGATTGAGAGTTTGTGTAAGCCATTTGTTAGTCATTTCATCGATGTGTTTTCCCCGACGCATTTGGTCAATGATCTCATCAACCCTTTCCTGCGCGTTTTTTACTGTCGGTGCTTTGAAAGGTTTGTTGTGAACTCTGTTGTCGAGTTGCATCTCGGCCTCTTCTCTTTTTTTTTTTTTTTCCTGTCTTATTCGAGATGACTGTTGTTGTGTTGCTTTTTAGAGGGTTAAAAGCAGAGTTGTTTTTCAACTATTTTAGAGCCGTGACCTTATTGTGTTAGACATTGTTTTATGGCTTGGATACAGTAATCTCTGCAAGTTATGTTATGACATTTTCCAAGTAGCTTTCAAGGGCAACAACTCAACAAGCCCTGTCAGATCGAAGGATGGCCAAATCTTACAGTTAGCTCAGGTTGATTGCTCGAGCTATGTCACATCTTTACTTAGCGTTGATCCGAAGGACGTCACGCCACGCATGCGCATAACCCTAATTATGTGAAAACAAACCAACAAAAGGGCCGAGCGATCGAATATCCCAAGCCTTTGCTCCTACAGCCTTAGGCCAGCCTTTCAGCTCAAACCGAGCGCTAAACATTGTCAATAATCAGAATCTCCATCAAAGTGCACTTTTCTAAGAAATTTGGATAGCGCCTCAGATGTGGCGTCTTGAATTATGAGCTATAGAAGGCTTCAGTGATATTTCCTCTACCCAAGCACTAACCTACAAGCAGACCTGAATTATCCTTGAGGTGAGGGCTGTCCAGGTATTTGGCAAAAATTTTGATTCATAGGATCTGTTAGACTCAGTGCCTATTACTAACTAATTTATTTGTTCCAGTGGCATGATTAAAGTTACCTCAGTAACGCACTTGAGCAAGAACTGCAAATTGCATTTATTTTGAAAACAGTTCAGTCAGCAACGGTGTTGGTTGATCATAAAATTTCAATTTCTGTATTTCAACACAATCCAAATTTAGCAATCTCGAACATCCTCAAGCAATCCACATACTAAACTTAATTTTTTATAATTTGAATAACATATTTTAAAAATGTCAGACAGCCTCATGACGGTCGACAGTTTCGAGTTAGCGCTTAAACGTCTAGAAATGAGGAAAATTTGAAAAATGCACAGTTCCGCTCACAAAATACAACTCCGCTTTCCTTCTTATTCAATCGCCATTCCCCAATGCTTCCATAATGTTTTGTATATCGAATATTAGCACAGATATAAACAGCATCGCTAAATAACAAAATATGAAAACGGTTTTCTACCCTGTAGACAACTTGAAATAGCTGCCATCAGCGGTAGATCCAAGTTTTGGATCAAAGGCGTTGAAAATTTTACTGGTCTTTCTTACCTGAAAATCTGGGTTTTCGTTGATAGCGATTGAATTCCCAGGGTTCATCAATAGTCTGGTACGAGTAGCAATTCAAACCATTTCTCTTATCTCCCGCCTCAGGTGACAGAGAATGGAAAAACACTTTAGGAATGGCGACCTCTGAATACTTTAAGATATTCAATCACTGACACAACGACAATTCTTTAAGGGATGTGATTGGCCAGAAAAAGGATCAGCTTTTAACTTGTAAACTCAAAACCACGTAATACTCACGTGAAGATACACCCGAGATCCAATCACGGAAGACAGCGTAAACATGAGACCATCTGGACAAATCGACCCGATATAAATGACGTTAAGAATGTGGTCTCAGAGGTCAAGTACAAGAAGAAATAGTATGTTTTCAGGGCATAAACAACAACAAAAAAGATGGAATCTGTCTTTCCGTTACTTCAAATCAGTACATCGAGCTAAATCCATCACGAAAGTTAGTTAATTGCCATTTTAACAATTTCATCAAGGTGAGTAAGTGTAGAAGTGAGAGTCACCCTTTGTCGTTGAAAGCTTTCTCGGAATTACGGGACTACGTTTACCTCAGGAAATTAAAAGATAAAGTGTTAAAATATTTCATATGATCCTTATCATTAGGGCAAAAGTTATAAATCGACACTGGTTGGTCTTGAACAAGATAACTTCCTCTGCATGTAGTATTCTATGCGGGATCCAACGTAAGCTACCGAGATAAAGCTTTGATGCAGCCCGGTTTAAATTTTCGGCGGATATAACTAAACACATTACATTACCTAGGTGAACAAAGTGTCTGGTAACAGGATTCTTTAATTAACCAATCTGTGAAAAGGCTGGATCATCAGAACTTGTTGATAGGACTGAAAGGTGCTTTATTGGGTTGAATGCGGACCATTTCTTTAAACAAAGAGGAGATCAAATGGGAACAGTAACCCCCTTGATGATAATTGCACCCAGCTTTTAAAAGTCCATAATAGGTAGGTTCCCTTTGTACCAATACTCAGCGATATCAACACTTTCTCACTGTACCTAAGTGAAATTGAATAAAGAGAGAAGGTTTAGGCGCACTTTGAAATATATTTATCTTTGCTTTAGTCTCTTAAAGGCTTGATTTCTACTCAGCATTTGAGCTGAATCCTTGTTCATCTCCCGTAAATGAGTCTTTACCTTATGGTCTTGAAATGATATGTTATTGATTCCAATTTACATGCTTAAGGAGCCCAAATTTGATCGTTTCCGGCTTGTGCTCTTGATTTTTTATTTCTCGGAAACTAAATATACCTTTCAAAGGAATATTCACTACCTTAAAGAGCTTTCTTTCACAGAAGTAGTGGTTAAAATATATCGTTAACTTAAGAATTGCTCGCAGTCAATGAGAAGGGCTGTTTAGGAAGGTTTTTCGTCTGACATACCTCCATTTCGGATCGCGTGAGCTGTGATTGCATAGTAGTTACGTTACTACGTCCAGTCTCTGAGCCTTTAAGCAATGATAACAACAACATGGTACAGTTGGAATTTCGGAGACAGTTTATTGTAAGTTCTTCTTTCTAAATTTCTCAAGACTATAGCACTGTTCAGTATTATCTGAGCCTCGAAGCAATCATGAAGAAGAACAACAATAATGAAAAGAGGGAAACTGAAAGAGCTTTTTATCCGGTACTTCCGTTCTTTCTAAACTTCTCAGAACTATATACTATTGGTTTTCAATTGATTTTAACGAGTCTCTCATAAGATTCATAATAATTATGCTAGATGGAATTTTGTATATATAAACATTCTCTAAAGGAAGAATCCACCATTATGGTGAATATTAAAGAACAGCAAAGCAATCAACAGAGAGCGTGCGGTAGGATATTCTGAGCCCCAGCTGATTTAAGACTCTCAGCTAAAACCGGCTGCCAAACGTAAGTGATTAAATTCTCCATCGAAGTGCACGTTTCTAGGAAATGTTCATAGCGCTTAAGCTGTGGTTTCTTATTACAAAGGCTTGACATACCAAAGAGAGAAAAAATTGAATATTTGCTCAAACCAAGTTTAAAGAAGTACGCTGAAACTCCTTGTATACAAGTAAACCTTTGCATGCCTAACCCCCACAACTGTCCGGCATGGGTTGACGGATCTTTTGACTACCTTTTACAAATGGAATTGTTTCAGTCAAACGAATGAA